GATAGATAGATAGATAGATAGATAGATAGATAGATAGATAGATAGATAGATAGATACTGGCAAAAGGTACTGCAAGCATTATGGACTGCTGGATGAACAAATCATTAAATAGGGGACAAAATCAGGCTGAAGCTTTCCTTATCAACTCAATTGACAAGGCTAACAGTTTAATATTATGGACATGCAAAGAGAAAGAATAGTAGACAAAGATACCATGCTTGGCAAGATTGAAGGAAAATGTTAAAAAAAATTAGCATTGTAATAAATCAATGCAATAACAACAGCCGTAGACTCAACTCTAGCAGGGATTAGCCACTTGACTGAAGATCAAATACAATCCAGAACAACTATCTACAGGGTTTCTATAAGTCAATATCAACTTGATGGTAACTAACAATAACAACAAAAAGTCTGGACCTCCAAATGTTAACTTGAAATTCCCACTATGCCTTAAAACATTGGCCATCCTGGTTACACCTAAAACTACAGATACATGCTATCCATGTCTATAACGGTTTCTTGGTTAGATTCTAAAGAGGTCTTCCTTTTGGAACTATTTTGGAACTGCATCATCAGCACTGTGAATGCTAGTGATGATCACCACTATAACCACAGCTACAATGTAAGCCATACACAAAGTTAACTTGATTGTCTTTAACCCTGAGTGGAAGGAGGCAGTGGCATGTGTACATTAACAAGCACAGAGACTTTAAATCAGACATGTCAAACACAAGGCCCGGGGGCTGGATGCAGCCCACGAAGTGGTTTCATGTGGCCCGCGAAGCCATCCTGGAAACAGTGAGGGAACGGCCCCCGATGCCTTGGCCCTGGCCCAGGCCGGCCGGGAGCCAATGTACAATTTTGTGGTGGCCATCAGTCTTGGCTCCCACTCCTGCCCAGGCCCCCACAGGCACCCTTGATGCGAACAATATAGAGCTGGCCATGCCCACCCAGTAGGCCACACCCACTCCATCCATGCTCACCCAGTAGGCTGCACCCACCCTGGCCACACCCACACGCCCCCCCGAGGCAACCAAAATGCTGATGCGGCCCTCAATGAAATTGAGTTTGACACCCCTGCTTTAAATCATAGCAGTATAGATAGGTTAGGTAACCGGTAATAGCTAAGGTGCCAGACATGAAATGACAATATACAGTTGGACAAGTCACTTATTCTAAGCCTAACCTACTTCAAGAATTATTATTGTAGAGACAAAATAAGGTGAAACTTATAAGTATATAATGGTGAGCTTTCATTAAAAAAGATGAGACATAAATGCAATAATTAAACAAATATAAAGTGAAAAATTGTCTAGTGTGAGATTAAATGACAACAAATCTAAAAACTTACCAAAAAATCAGTGTCTCCAGGAAGGAGATGCCAACATTTGATGATCCAACAACTACTATTCTACAACTGACAGATACCTTAGGCTCCAAGGACAACTTCCGATTGAAATGATACAGTGCATATTTTAACTGTATAAGGAATAAAAAACAAAAAGATGTTCTTTAGCAGCATATACTAAATGTTCTTTAGTATATTTAGATTACAAATGTGTTATAAACATGGACACAGCAATATGTGAAACTTTCAAATTGTAGAACACGTCTGGGGATTTCAATTTTCCAATATAATTGGAAATCTAGAGACACCAATATCCAGAGATATTGATATCCTTCTACTTTTTCCCAAAGAATTCCAATTTGCCATGAAATATGTTGAAATTATCAAAATTGCTTTAAATCCTTGAGGAGAAAAGGGTCCAGGAAGGATGGAAAATTCCATGGAACACGATAGGCACAACCATATTCAATCCCTATAAGACAAAATGGGAGTGGATATATGTAGAGGTGTTTAAAATCCTGGACAGAAAAAAAGTGGTATGTATAGAGAGTGGGAGAAGAGAATCATTACTGAAGAAGAATATCAGGTGTTTTCCAGAAACAGACAAGTTAAAGCACAGAATGAAGCTTGTGAGAAATTTTCAAAATGGAAATGGGGTTCTTGTTACATTGTACCACTGGGAGAAGGAAGGAACTGCAGTTTAGTATTAGGTGAGTTACTTGAGGCAAAATCTGCAGTAGCTGTGTGAACAAAGTTTTCATTATTTATATAACATACCATGAGGGACAGTAGCAATACTGGATTCAGGAAGCAACAGTTGTAGTGCTATATACATTTGAAGCACCACAGGCAAATCTTAACATTTTCTTACTGCAAACACCCAGTCAAAACTAAAGCTAAAATCTTGCCAGGACTCCTTTCATTTGCTTGCTCACATAATCTTATATATACACCCAGTGCTTTTTTTGTAAAAAAAAAAAAAAAAAAGGTGCCAGAACTCACACATGTCATACAACCCGCCTTGCCTACCCTACAAGGTTCCATCCAAAAAAGGTGCCGGAACTCCGTTCTGGGCGTTCTATGAGAAAAAAAGCCCTGTTTACACCTTTTATTAAAATAATACTAAGCAACCAACTCACATAGCTATGCTAATATCCATTAATTTGTTAGTCCATATAGAATTCCAGTTCATGCAGTTCAGGTCTGTCACTTTTGTGCAAGAGAAAATACAGTGAAATTGTATAACATTTTTCATCAGCATTGTAATCTATATGAACCATCTCATCTTCTTCTTCATCATCCCACCCTCTATTTATATGGGGCACAGATGAAACTAGGGCATAAATTAAACAAAGAGTATTTAATTTGGAGCTCCATAAGGACACATACAAAGTTCCAACAGAAGAGAATATTTGAATAGCTCAGAGTTGAAATGAGTGGTCCTTGGTGCTTTCTTGAGGCCTCCTGCAAAGCAGGATCTGGAACTAAACCACATCTCCCTCAACACTGAATGGAACCAGCTCCAAAGAAAGAAGGAGAATCACAACAGAACCCAATAACCTAAGGTAGTTCAGAAAGATTCCATGATCAATGGGTATCAAAGCCTGCCAAGATGTCAAGGGGGACCAAGATGGATATATTACCCCCATCCTGAGCTGCCACAACATCAAGTGCAACCAAAGTTGTCTCAATACAAAAGCAGCAACTGTGATCAAAAATGTCCCAAACAAGGAAGGGGTCCAGAAAATCCATTTCCTCCAGGATCTTTTGAGTGGTAGGCTGAGGACTTTCTCAACAACCTTCCCCAGAAACGAGGGTTAGAAACTGAACAGAAATAGTCCAAATCTATGGGATCCAGAGATAATTTCTTGAGAATGGGATGGACTACTCCTCTTTCAGAGTCGATGAGATTATCCCATCTTTTAAGATAGCATTCACCATTACAGGGATTTTCCCACCTTGTCCATTTCCTCAGAAGTAACAGAACTACTACTACTACTACTAATAATAATAGTAATAGTAATAGTAATAGTAATAATAATAATAGAGTTGGAAAGGACCTTGGAGATCTTCTAGTCCAACCCCCTGCTCAGGCAAAAAACCCAATACCATTTCAGACAAATGGCTGTCCAGTCTCTTCTTAAAGACTTCCACTGTTGGAGCATTCACAACTTCTGGAGGCAGGTTGTTCCGCTGATTAATTGTTCTAACTGTCAGGCAATTTCTTCTTAGTTCTAGGCTGAATCATCATCTTTTCATAGTAAGTATCCCAGATCATATTGCTACCACAGTGAGACAAAAGTAATGTATGATATGGTATGTGACAATCACCCACGTTGTGGGATGGACCTGCCTGCTGCAAAGCTGGTCATGAACATAAAGGCTTCCTCTGAGCCCAGACCCAAGGAAAGCAGGCTGAAATCCTCCAGGATCATAAATTTGGAAACACCACTAGATACAGCATCAAGTTATTTTAGACAAGGCAAGTGCATAGCTGCAAATTCCTCTTTGGAAAGGACTATTAAGGCCATCCACTTCATATTCTTATCATGCTCACTATCTGAAGATAGCAAGGGTAGGCAAAGTAAATGAGTTGCAGTTACATTATGAATACCAGATTTATATTCATCTGAATACAATACATTAGTATATCAACTGATAATCTTAATTTCTGATCATCCAAACTCTAAATGGCAATCTACAACGATCACTATGATTCCATAGAAATTGTTTTTTGTATTACACACACTGGCAAATGCTTTTTTTCAACAGGAGAACAGACTTTTTCTGCCCCTTGTAATATTCCAGATGGAAATACAACTACCTTTTAAATATTATCTGTATTAATGTGCTTAAATATTGTTCTAAAGATGTAATCAGAAGTGTCTGTAGTTCCAATATTAGGTAAAGCTTTGTCAAATAGAGACACTGCGAGACCTACAATGACTTCACAGGCTCAAAATCACATTTGGAAATCTTTAGGTAGTAAGACATTTATAAATGGTTTGATGTGATGTCCATCATGAGTAATTAATGCAGTGACCTATCAATCCCTGTCTTATTTTCTCTGCCAACTGATTCTGTGTCATTCCCTCTCATTTGTTCAAAAATAGCAGCAATATACAATACTCTTCTATACATTTCTTGCTGGTAAAATTTATGATACAATGCCACAATTTTAACTTTCAGCACGCACACAATTCTTAACACTAATCCTTAATATAGACAATGCGATCTCTTCCAGTTGGCAAATCTTAAAAGAAACCTCTGAGATTCCTTAGCTCAGGAAATTCTTCATCTTGTGTAGTCAACAAATAAATTCTGAACTCCTTTTAATTCAAGAAGAGAGTTACAGGCTTACTCAGCTTTTGGTAGACCAATTGTAACCCCATTTTTCTCACTACTTTACTACACTGTATACATTTAAAAACATTTATTCATTTGTTTGTTTATCTATTTATGCAGGAACCCAGTTAAAAATAAAACCAACAATGCAGTTCCTTTCAAACTCTTGCCATAACTCCTGCATTTGTCTCATCTCTCTACAGTACCACAGTTTGCCACCAAATCATACTGATCCTACAATCAGACCATCAGTCATCACTCCAGCCAGACCTTAGCTATGTAGCCCTAATAACAGAAAATGACATTGCCCATAGAAAAACATACAGAATTAGTTTTGTAATTCATAGTACAGTATATTCTTTAGTACCGTGCCATCTCTTTCTCTTAAGGATTTAAAAAGTCAGGACATTTTATATTTAGGGAGATTAGAGTCATGTTTGACTACTGCCTTTTTATTTAACAGCATATCCCAAAAATGGTGAATGATTCTTTGGCTAACTGTGAGACCCCTAAAGTTGTGTCAGGATCTCTTATGTGATTTATCATCAAGATTAAAGTACTAAGAGACGTTTGAAGATTTGGAATTGGATTTCACTAGTAAATCAGTGATAGCTATCTCTTTTTTCTGCTATTCTACTAATGTTAAGAAAGTATTGGACTTTTTGAATATTTTTTGAGAGCATATTAATGAGGTGGATTTGAGATAATGTTCAGATATACCCATTGCTCAATATACCTTTTTGCTAGAAACACTGGAATAAAATTCAAATATGAGGATGTGGTCTATATTTTTCAGGCAAATTCTTTTTTGAAAAATGTATATGATACTTGGCTGATTGGAGATTGAAAAAAAATCTTCAGATTTATGTTTTTTCTGATAATTTTTGGCAGTGCAATCATGACATCCAGTGGCCAATGTCAGTTAAGATTAATCTGTTAAATGATGACTGTACAATGATACTAAAAGGTAATTGCAAATTGTTGATTACTCAGTGATTGGGATTACATCTTACACTAACAAAAGATACAGCCTTAGTTTATTGAACAAATTGTATAAGTGGATTCACACAACACAGTAAATTACAAACACTAATATACTAAACATATGAACAAAGTTTATGCAACATGTTAAACCCATCAGCACACAAGATGATGAACTCTCTGAATCGGTGGAGTGTGCTAAGGCATAGTTTGTTTTAGCCATGATATATACAATAGATCACAATGACTGAAGTCACATGTTTTCAAAGAATATAGAAATCAAGTGTCTAAACTTGCTCTATGTTACAGAATGAAGGAAGTGAATGAGAAAGATGCTTGCAATTTAAATACTGTTCCTTCATGCACTGTCAGGTAAGTTTCAAGAGTGAGAGAAGTCATCATTCTCCTTTCCTACTAGAGAAGCCTTCTTCTTCTTCTTATTGTTGTTAGTTGCGAAGTCGTGTCCGACCCATCGCGACCCCATGGACAACGTTCCTCCAGGCCTTCCTGTCCTCTACCATCTTCTGGAGTCCATTTAAGCTCATGCCTACTGCTTCAGTGACTCCATCCAGCCACCTCATTCTCTGTTGTCCCCTTCTTCTATTGCCCTCAATCTTTCCCAGCATTCGGCTCTTCTCCAGTGAGTCCTTCCTTCTCATTCGGTGGCCAAAGGACTTGAGTTTCAACCTCAGGATCTGGCCTTCTAAAGAGCAGTCAGGGTTGATCTCCTCCAGGACTGACCGGTTGGATCGCCTTGCAGTCCAGGGGACTCACAGGAGTCTTCTCCAGCACCAGAGTTCAAAGG